ATGTTATTTTTACTAGAATAATTTGTATTAAGTTAAATACTAATTAAATATGTTAAGTTTATACTTTACTATTTTAAACTAAAATTTAGTGAGATTTGGATAAATAACATATCACAACCAAGTGGTATAAAAAATCGAATTAATTACCTGATTCTTGCCAACATTTACTTACAAAGGGATTTCCCATCAACAGTAATGACGAATTAAATATTGTGATATTTGTGTACTACACATTTGGTGGTTAGAAAATTAATATAAATGCAATCAAAAACCACTTAAATAATATATATTTTAATTATAAAAAAGGATGTATACTTAATATTTTTGTAATATTTAATATATGTTTTTATAATAAATGGAATGGTTTATATTTTATGTTAAATTTATTATATGCTTACATATATGTAATATTAAAATTCATTTTTGTATATCGTGCAACATGAGGTCTAACACTTGAGGTGCATGGGTTAATGTCTTTCTCGTTGATTGAGCGTTTGAGCTCTTATGCTACAGATGTATTACCTGAAGTTTTCTGTAGATGTTACAGTTCAGTTCCTCGTTCTTTATACTTTTAACGATTAATATGATAAAAGTGACAAGATATTGTTGCTGAGCAGTACTCTTGCATACTCATTATAGGTATGGTTGTACATTTTACATAATTAATGATGAAACAATAACAGGCTCATAATTCAAAAAGTAAGAATTAAATGTGTGCTATATGATATACTTCCATTTGGTTTATAAAATGAAAAGTGAATAACAAATCATTTATACATTTTAAACATTGGTACTTTGAACGAGACATAAAACCTTATATAATATGCTTTCATCCGCCCAGTGTACAACTGGGTGTTTTTGGGTTGAAAACAATTCATTCTAACTGTGCATTCTGTAATAAGTTATCTGACAATAGATTTTTCAATAGTTGATTTATGTCTCTAAGTACATTTTGATGACCACTTCAGATTTAATAAAGCATAGAGACGAGGTTAGGTTGGAAGTAATGTTAAGAGATTTTAGGTGTCTAAGGTAAATTATGAATGTAATTGGTATATAATGAGGGACAGACTAAGAGTAAATGTGAGTGGTCGTAGACACTTTTATAGATAGATATGCCTAGTGTGCAAAAAGGAGAGTCATTTAAAACAAGTTTATTGGAATAATCGGGTAGAAGTTCTAACCTTGTGCCATATGGAGTCGGTAGAAAACTTGAAATCATATGATTTAAAATGAAAAACGAAAGGGGATAATTTAGAACTAAAGACAATCGATTTTAGGGATTGTAAAAAAGACATAGAATCGGAGGAATAATTATTAGAAGTTTAATTTGAGATAAATAAAAGGCTTCGAAAAAATCATTATACTGTGTGGTGTAAGGGGCATATTGTTAGTAAAAGAAACCTGTAGTTCAGATATGTAGGAAGAATTATCCAGCTGACCAGAGTTAAACTCAACAGTCAGTACTTATTATAGATGATTGGGAAAATAAAGGTTAAGGTAATTAGAAAAAATGTATTGACCATAGGGTGTGAGACATTGTTTTTTAGTTCGTAACAGAGCGAATGATTATTATTACTTAAACAATAAATTTAACTCGATGACAAAAATCATATGTATTTTTTTTATCGAGATAGATTCATTTTATAGGTCATATAATATCAAGTATGTGCTGTCCACATATCACAATAGGTTATCATCACAATATAATCACTTACTAACCATCAATTTGCTACGATTGTCATTACCAACGACATATTTTTCATTTAATTTATTAGGTACTCAAATTGACTTTTAAATATACATTTTTTAAACTTTTATAGTTTTATCAGCTATCCCTGAGAGATCTTTAAATAAATTGTAATAAACTAATACCTGAATGAATTATGTCTTCTTAACTGTAAGTATAACTTAAAAAGGAAATACGAAGGTTAAATTTGTTTGTTTCATCATGGTCAGCTTGAAAAATCATTTCCACATAAATAGGAAAAATAAATTATTTTTTAAAATAATTTTTCAATTTAAAAACTGGGGTAGTCAGTCTGCACTATAGTATAGGGTCCGTGATTAGGAAGTCAACCAGTCATCACTTAGGTATACAAAATAGAAATAATAAAATATGATTTGTAAATTGAAGCAAACTTTTTTCAAATATTTAATTCATGTAAGTTTCTCATTAATGTCATATACTCATTCATATAGTTGTCCAAGTACCAATTGGTTATTTCTTTCCTGTTTGCTGGTAAGTTTCATTGCATTATTGCTTCGAAATTTAATTAATGTAACAGTTTATTGGCATTTTATTGTATATTGAGTTTAGGTACATTTATATTTTATACAATTTAATTTATGGTTTTACCTATTGGCAATTACACATACTAATAATATCGAGGTAAAGTGACGAAAAAAGACCCATACTATGAATTTGACCTGAAATATTATGTTTTATATTTTATTTACATTCCCATCTAGCTGAACATTTAACGCATAATAAGGTTTGGTTAATTTACCAAAAAGAGTTATTAGAATATCATTTCAAGGACCTATCCCAACGGCTTTAGACAGTATTGTAATATACTATGATAGTTAAAGTTATTGATGTCGAAGAGAGATTTTATGTGCGAAAAATAATGAAACATGTATTTTAGATTTAGCATTTGTTCTTCAATCATTATTTTGAATGTTGTTTGGCTTGGCGTGGTTGCTGCAATCGGTCACGTAACGTGATTGAGATTTAAGAGTACTCTACCGTCCACTGCCAGTGTCTGCCACTAGTTGAGTGGAAAAACCTTGCCACACATACACGAGTTTCCAATAATCGTACTAACTAAGCCACCGCAACTCTTTACAATAGCTAATAGGCGTAATATCACCCACAATAACAATTATTTTGAATGTAACACGGCGCTAAGTGTATGCAATATTGATACATACGTTTGACTAAATAATTATTGCCACAATAATAATATTATGTATTATTATTATTTAGGGTGTACTATTACGTCGTTATCTACATTTCTTTTAAACATCTCACCATATTGACTTCAATTAATCCGCAAACGTATAAGCTAAGCAACCAAATTTACTTAATATTAATAGGACAACATTTACTGTGCAACATCGTTTTCATTTTTTCTGTATCACAAACACAAAAAAACGTTATTCACGTTTGAAGTAATACATTTTTAAACAATAAGAATTTTTCTTGTATTTGTGATGTCGAAAAAATAAAAGCGATGTTGCACAGTAAATGTTCTATATTGTTTATAGTGTGGAAATATGGTTGCTTAGCTTGTACTACAGCTTGAGCGGTTTTATTTCACGCAAAACAGTTTTTGATATGTTGTACGTTTGTAAGACGGAGACAACACATACGGGTGTAGGGGTCCTCTTACTAAGTGGATATTTTATTTTAGATTCTGAGCGGAGCGATGAATGTATTGATTTTACAATGATGTGAGTTTTTATATTTATTTATTTTATTTTTTATTTTGTGCCTGTCATCACGGTTTCTTGCAGTAGAAATTTCTTCAACAGCAACTTTTCTGGTAGGAAAGTTAATCTAGTTGGTGCATTCGGAAGGTCAAAATTTGAAATGTCCAATAGTTTTCAAAACCAACAGGAAGACCGAACAAAAAATTAATGAAAACCCGTAATTTTTACGCAAAACTAGTTTTAGAAAAAATTGATTTTGGTTTTTATTGAACTCTAGCAAAAATGACCGTAGGTACATGACATTTTCACTGAATATTTGTGTTAACCTTTTCTATACACCATGAAATGTTCAAAATATTTTGAATAATGTTGAACTATTTTATACGCATATGAAATTGTCGGTTATTATTTGTCACAAAATGTTTAAATACTGTCCCTGTCGGTGTTACTCCAAATATGGACACTTAAATTTGGGTCCATATAAATCTCTTCACCCATATATCATACAGATTTGGGTGTCCTCTCTCATTTACATTTTATAGTATAGATAAGTAGCTCAATGCCCCATTGCACGAACCTGCAGATATGGAAAATACACCGGTCAGTAGATTGCCTCAGACCTCAGTGGTGCTGAGTCCAGCAACTTGCGCAACACGGTTTGGTTCTATGGAATAAGACATTTTTATGTGAACTATTTATTAACTATACAAGGTCGAAACAAATTATCAAAATAGAATGGGATACCAAATGAATCTAGCATGATTGTGAATAAAATACATTAAGTTGCTTCCGTAAAAGTGCTTTACGTACAAAATTACGGAATTACCAATTTGTGGATCCAAAACTCACGATGTTCGATTGGCTTAGTGTTGAGTATAGGCATGGCGAGTAAGAAAGGAATTTCCCAGACCCAGAAATTTAGGACTTTTCAATTTTTTAAACAAAAGAAACGATTATTAATAGTAGTTCGATGAACACAGCTAAAATTCTACTCCTAACAGTTACATAAAAAAGTTAAAGACAGTTGGTCAAAAATAGTGGTGGCTTCTCGGCTTCTCTCTCTACAGCCTTGAACGAGGGCATAAAAAAAAATCTGGGTAAGATAAAACAAATATAATAATATTATTATCTAGAAAATAAATTGGAAAAATGCAATACTATTTTAGAAATGTTGTTTCAAAATTCTCATTAAATTCTAAATTGAAGTGTTCTTCCTTTTTTTAATCCAATGTTTACTTATATAGTTATTTCTATAATATACCTATAACCTATAGCAGAAGTTATAACTTATAACCCTCTTTTCAGAATTATTTATAAATTTATATAACAAATTCATAGATTTTATGTTAGAGAGACTTGACCTATTATTGAACTTTAAGATAATTGTTATGTGAGTTATGAGTTATGAGTATGTAAGATAGTACAATAACTTATATATTACAATGGAAATTAAATATTGTAAAAAAAAACCAATGTACACAAACAGCCAATATTCTTAACTTTAAGTTTGATGATAGGACAAATTCACAACATTAACACAAGATTCATCTAATAACAACACAACAGTAAAATAAAGCTTTTTTTTTATTAAAATCAATTTCATTTAGACATAAAATATAATAATTGTAATATTCAAAAATGTAATCTCTTTTTCTCAACAATACTTATATAGGATAACCCTGTACCATTACACTCGTTCCTGGCAAAGTATTTGGCATTAAACGGCTCACAAAACTCTAAAAAATATATATACATGATTTCATCATAATTTTTGTTAACTTTTGTAATAATCTATATGCACCCACTTAAAAATTTGTATGGTAGTAGTTTTGTAAGTTATCAAAAACATATTATCGTAATAAACGTAAGTTATTAACAGCTAATCTCAAACACTACTTAACCGATTTCAATTTAAGTTATATCAATAGATTCCTTGAGACTCAGGGAAGAGGGGATGGTGTTTTTAGCTTTTTTGTTCAACCCATATAATATGTGTTGCTATAAAGTGACTCATACATGAATTTTGTTTCGGTAATTTTTTAATTATATGAATAAAACCATTGGTTACAGATTAGATTACTATTAAAATCATTAGAAACATGACATATTATTTATTTACTTTTGTACAATATATAACCCATTCACACAAAGTGTTTGAAATTTACACACAAGATATTAAAAATATTTACTGTGAGTACCTATGATCATAATTTATTTATATTAATTTTATATTGTTAACATTACTCAACATTTATTGATTAGCCAACTTGTTATGATCACAATTTGAAACTGAATACATACTTTTTTGTCATTTTCAGTAGTATAGGCAATACACATTGATTTTGTAGTGTGTGCACTCAAAATTTCACAATAATCTTTATTTTTATATAATACTAATGAACCTGCAAGTTTTTCATTGCAATTTCTTAATATCGGTGAATCTGGAAAAATAAAATAAAAGGTATACAGATATATCAAATAAAAAATGTAGTTATAATAGATGACTAACGTATAAAATCTTCATTAAAACATTTAGTAATTGCGATTGTAGGGCAAGAAGAATTAACAAGTTGTCTAGACATTTCTCTAGCTAGATTTGTCTTAATTAGATGTTCACCACAACCAGATGTTGTTACTGCAATTGCGACGTCATCAGGCATATTTTGGGCCCAACATCCTGATCCCAATAAAGCAGCCTAAAAAAATTAATTTAATGACACATTACGTATAATAGATTTTTAATAGGTTCTTTACAAATCACAATAGATATGTAGTATATTGTGTAACAAGGACTGTAAGTGTGTTTTATCAGTAGCGGGTAATGTTTGCAGAATAAAGGCTATTTGAGTCATCCAGGACTGAAATTGCTTTAACGCAAGAGCCACATTTACTTTTTTTTGTCATGTCACTATTGATATTATGAAAATCCATAGTGAATGTTTTTGCTATTCTCGGTATCTACATTCACCTAACTGTATCATGTAGAACAGCAAGACAGTACCTAACCAGCCAGATACTATTTGATACAGTGACATAATAAAGAGCTGGGGTTCCCAGTTCTGGACCCCTCTCTTTTAATCGTATTATTTCTAGTACAGATATACCAGATTTTTTTCTTTAGTTGAAATCTCTGTTTAAACAAATGTGGATCACTGCACCCTCATATATTTAAGTTAAAACTTATGACTTATAAGTCATAAATAAAATCTAGTGTATAGAAAATCATAGGTAATATACATAATGAGCTGATAAATAGTTGCAAGTTGCAATGATTAATATTTTTTGAAATACAACATAATAACTAAAATTGTTGAAGGTTAAATCGTTTTGCTTGCTTACTGTACAATGAATATCCAAAATTATCAGAATTTGAACTTAAAAGTTTAAATGCTCATAAAATATTTATAGATATATCTTTGAGCTACATTTTTTTTTATATTCCTATAAAAAACTTTGAAATCTTGTATTATATTTTCAAGCAATTCAATTTGATTTACAATTTTTTGTGAGTTTTACAAATTTTATCAAAATTGAACTTTAAACTTGTAATAAAAAATATTATATGATATGTAATTTTTTATAATACATTTAAACCAATACAATCTACATCTATGTTAAGCAAAAAAACGTAAATTAATAAACAAATTATAGTTATTGTAAAAATATTAATATAAAATTACTTGTCCAACACGACCATCTTGTTTCAATAAGATTCCACCGCTAGATGATGAAGCAGCAACATTTCCAAACTTATCCATACCAACACAACCTACAGTATCTAATCTAGGGTTTCCAACCTATATAACATAATAATGCTATTCAGTAAAAAAAAATTGATATATATATTTTAAAGTTACTTGACAATTACTGTACTTTTGATTCATAACTTTATATTTACTGTGAACAAAGTCTTTTTTTGATTTTTCTAAAACAATTTAACAATATACTTATAAGAAACAGAACACAAAATTGTAATAATGGTTGAAAAAAATCACACTTTACCTGAAATTAAACTAAATGGGTCAACAGCTATAATATTGTTTGCAATAGCATATTCATGAGCTCCGAGACCAACAAGTAAACTTAATTGAGAAAAATATATTTTAGTTAAACAAGAGAATATATTATTAAAGTTCAGGCATAAGTTCTCACATTCATGGTATAACATCTTACTGTATGTAAACTATTTAATGCATCATTCTATTAGAAATAAAAAGATGCAAAAGGAACTACCCCTTTCACTTTTAGATTACAAATATAATTTTGAATTGATCTCAGTTTTTTCAACATTAATTTAATTATATTATTTCACATATTAATAATAAGCTAATGGTATGATATATACAAGGAGCTCTCCATTTAAGCATTAAATAAAATTGAAAAATAAATACATTTCCCATATAAATATGTATTGCATGTAACATAAAATATTAATAAAAATTATGATTGTTTAGGTTAGTTAGTTAAAATCCCAAAGTTAATTTATATTCAACCTTAAGAGGGCGCCACACCCGCATGCGTTGTCTCCGTCTTACAAACGAGTAACATACCAAATTTACGCTCAGCAGTTCAAGTTTTATGCCGTTATCTTATAAATTAGAGTGAATTAACCTATTATGAAACTTGATGGTGAGAACTTTATCTGTGTTTTGTTGGAAGTTTTTTTACAATAATTCAGTTTTTAAGTGAGTTATGAGCATTTTTAATTTACATTTATTATACAAGCATACCTCGCTTAAAAACTGAAGTATCGTAAAAAAATTTTCCAACAAAACACGGATAAAGTTCTTACCATCAAGTTTCATAATAGGTTAATTCAGTCTAATTTTTAAGCTAACGTCATAAAACTTGAACTGCTGAGCGTAAATTTGGTATGTTACTCGTTTGTAAGACGGAGACAACGCATGCGGGTGTGGCGCCCTCTTAAATAATACTTTTTATACTATCGAGTATCGATACAATTTATTCTATCAATAATTATAGTATTACAATAAAGTGTTGCCATTCGTCCCAATTTAGCCTAGACACAACCAGTATTCACACACTGTCCCAATTAGTTGGTTATTAAAACTACAGACAACAAAATAATAAATCAATGAAAACTTAATGTATGGTAGAGTACAAACTCTACTGAAGAAAATTGATTATTGATTTTCAAATAAATTAAGGAAAATAACATTGATTTTTCTATATTATTAAAAAAGTGTAATTTTTGTTTGTACCTATTAACTGGATCTAGTGCTGCATTGAAAAAAATATTTTCTTTAATCAATACCATCTAAACAAAATTATTGAATAAATTAGGCTTCAAAACTGTAAAAGCAACTTACTAAAACAAATGTGGATCCGTATCAAAATCTTAAGGAAGACATTTTAAATGACAAAGATTTACCTATTTATACAAGTTCACAAAATTGCAAGACATTGATAACTAGGGAGTCTGAAATGAAGACAAATATTTGGATGACGTAAATTGTGATTTATAATAATATTGGTAAGGAAATCACATTAAATTCAATTTAAAAATTTTGATTGTATTTATACATTTGTTTCAGATCTAACACCTTCTAATAATATATAAAAAGTAATTGAAATTGGGTGATTTAAGATTATACTTATTATGCCTACTGTTTACGTTAAACAAAATAATATTATGTACAAATTAAAGAATAGTTATTAATAATAAGAATACTTAATAAAACTTATTATGAATTATGATGTGACAATTTTGTTTATAATATGTGTCCTATTTTTTATTTCAAACAAATAGCAACCCTTAACACTACTATAGTAGTACTCTAATAAACAATGTTCCACAGACTAATCAGATCTTCTGTGCTTTGTGGTGAAAATAAACCTTACTTTTTAAATCTAAAAAATAAGATAATCTATTTTTATGAATGACTATACGTCTATATACCATGGAGGAATTCTTCCAAATGACATTTTTAAATTTTGATTTTCGCAAATGAGTTTGGCAAGAGCGATTGGATTCTTTATACCAGAAACAGCACCAACACCTCCATAATGCATATTTGATCCATCTATAATACTTGCATCACATTCCACAGCACCATTCCATGTTAAATTAGATCCATAACCAGCATTAGTTAGTGGAGAATCTTCTAAAACCATAGTAGCTACTGCAACTGCATCTAATGCCGATCCATTATTTTTCAGTACCTCCAATCCCTAAAAGAATAATATTTTTTATAACCTCATTTCAATTATATAATAATAGTAACCAACTTTTTTACAAGCTTTCAAACATATTTTTCTATAATTTGCTTCTTTAGTGGTTTTTTGATATCCTGCACCTATTTAAAAATAATTATAAATCAATTTAATTGAGTATTACACATATTAGTTTTCAATCTACACTCTACAACATATTACAAAATGATTTAATCAAAATACACATTGAATAGGTACTAATACTACCATTTACTTGGTTACATAATTAGTATTTATGATATCTTACCAGCGTGAACAGCAATTACACATTCCATGTTACTTTAATGTTCTCATTTAACAATCTTTACATATTAAATTCAACATAACTTTTGAATTTGAATCAATATAATTTCATTGGCATTAAGATTTAAGATTTAAAACGTCATGATAAATAATAATATTAGAATAAAATGAATATTTTATACCTATTTTCATCATGGTCTGTACTCCAAGATAAATATAATTTTAATAAATAAGTATAAAATAATATTCAAGTCATGTGGTTCTGTAGAAGTCTGAAGTACCTATATAGTACCGTACAGATCAACGGATACTATAGATTAGAAAATGGGAGTATGGGACCGCGGCTGTGGAGTTAAGGTGGAGGTGGTTGAGGGGTAGCTCAGTAGTCCGTAGAAACGTGCAACAAAATGTATGTGATTGTCTATTCAGCCCCTTTTCTTATCACTTTTATGTAGTTGATAACTAACACAAATTATTTGGCGCCATCAATCATATTATGTAATACCTGCAAAAATACTATAGATAAATTAAAAATATAAAATAGATAGGTACTATAGAATATTACTTATGAGGGTATACATTACAATATAATATAAATATTATTACATTGGCACATTTGTTGTTTGAAAAGCAGCACAGGCGCACAGCAATAATTAAACACCACATTTATCAATGAATATAATATATCAGTATTTCATTTCGATAGTTGTTTATTGTTTAATACCTCATCGAAAGTATCTGGGTGCTTCAGCCAGTGGCGTGCCCAAGTGGGGGGGGGGGGGGGGTTAGGGGTTATATCCCCCCCCCATTGAACTTTCCTGGACACGCCACTCGCTTCAGCCCCTTCGATTGGCTATAATATACATTTTATACCTATAATAAACGGCAAAATACAAACGACGATGTTTCTGAAAAAAGTCTTGTAGAGGTTATAATGGTTACGGGATATTTATTAATACGACCTCGTATAGGCGAGGAACGGATATTAAATTTTTCTGATTTACTTTGCTTAGCCCCCTCCCCCCCTTGAGAAATTCTGGGTAGGCAACCGTCTGGATGTACTCCAATTGGCTCTGTGATAGTTGCTGTACATTTTAGATTCCGACATCTGAGAGTGGCGAATGTCGTTTTCCAATGTTGTATTTTTTTTCTGTCTATCGTCAAAATTTGGGATGGCAAAAATGCTCCAATTCTCGACACCACTATATTTTTCTGATAGAAAAGTGAATCTAGTTGGTACTTTTTGGAGAATTTAGTACTTGAAAACTCATACAAGTTTTCGAAAGCGTCTAGAAAAACAAAAAAATGATAATTTTTAAGCAAACCCAATTTTTGAAAAAAAAAAACGATTTTATTTTTTTTTGACTTGACTTAAAAACTAAAATTTGTGAATAGGTACCTGAAATTTCAACAAATATTTGTGTTAGAATTTTACTAAGATGTACTTGTCATTATTTAATCGAAGTTAAAAAATAATAAAGTTACATAAGCATATAATTTATTTAAAGTTCAAATTTTCACAAAACTCATCAAAAATCAAAATCTCGAAAATGTTTTTATGTTAAAACAAATAACCGTAAATTGCATGTGCCTATAAATATTTCAAAACAAATCAAAATATTTTGAACATTTTATGGTGTATAGAAAATGTTAACTCAAATATTCAGTGAAAATGGCATATGTATCTACGGTCATTTTTGTTAGAGTTACCCTAAAATTCATAGTCGTTTTTTTCAAAAACTGGTTTTGCGTTAACATTTTCGTTTTTCCATAATTTTTTTTTAATTATACCAACATAATAAATTTAATTATTTGTTCAAGTATCAATGTTGGGGTTATGTGACATAACGTCCAAAAATTACCAATTGTTTTCTTAAGTGACAGAAAATATTGTTTGTGTTAGCATTTTCTATACATCTTATGATGTTCAAAATATTTTGACTCATGGTGAACTATTTATATATGAAATTTTCGATTATAATTAGTTTTTTTTTTATTAATGTCTATAGAAAAAATTTTAGCTTGGTGAAAACACTAGTAAATGCAATACAACTTCCTTGTAAATTGTTGCTGTGGAAATTAAAAAAAAAAGTTGAGTGTAAATCAACAATAATTTTTTATGAGCGTCAGAATTCAAAATGTTGTTTAAATATGTCAAAATCAAATTATTTTAAGTTGGAAATTCATAAAAAAATTTCTTTTCATATCGATGATTTGAAAATGTTATACAAGATTCCTTATAAGTTTGTCTACATTGATCAAAAAAAATTCTATCGGAAAGTCAAATTAAAATTTATGAGCATTTTATGATTTGAAATTTTTACAGCATATCACTAGGTTTCTTATTTTTTTATGTAGCGATTTTCTTATTTTGTTGTGATTCAAATTTCAAAATGTGTGAAAATTGAATACAAGGCGCCTATATATATTGTTACAATATCAGCTGAAAAACATTAAAAATACAGACATTTTTTATAATCATTTAAAAAGTTCAAATGTTGACAACATTTATCATAATATTGAAAAATGATTTTGTAGGGGGTATTTATTAAATGCTCCTCTTTTATAGCCAATGATTGAAAATTTAAAACAAGGTTCTACGTAAGTAGTTAATCATGTAACAAAAAAATCAGAAAATAAACATAAACACAACTTTTTTGTAGTTATTTTAAGATTGGATTTAGACGAAATTAAAAGTGTATTAGACGCGTCTTAAAAATGTATGTAATTATAAAATGTTTGTGACTGAGCGAGCGTGTGTGACATTTATTTTGTTCAATTAATAAACATACTTATTGTAGGTAGTAGGTATACACAAAAGTTTACTATTACTTCTTCTTGTGTATTGGTGAGTGCATAAATCAATTGATACCGATTTTACTACTAAGAAATCGTTAAAGTACATTATACTTCCAATGGAAGACTTGTCAGTCGTTTAAATAGAGTGAAGAAGCCTGCAGTATAAACGCTACACAAATATTATATCGTGTCCTAAGAAATATTTAAAACTACAAACACTAAATAGCACCGGAGGATACGGCAAGGATAGGTATAACTGTACATGCATTGTAAATAATATTTACCTATATTATGGAACATTCCAACGTTATATATATGGTCGAGTAGTTAATACAAAATAATGTCTTTGCAAGTGCACCAAGTAACAATCCAAATAATGGCGTAATGAAAGTTTCCATCGTCATTACAATTGCAAACTTTGATAAAGAAATATAAAACCAATGTTCAATGAGAAGACGCCATATAGATAAACTTTATTGTTTAGACAAATGTAAGACAGAATTATAACGCAACTAATGAATATTTAAATCTAAAAGGCACAAAATACCATATAAATTAAATGCAATAAATTAAAGAAGGGGCGAGAGACATTAAAATTTATAAAATAACAACAAATTTAATATACATTTTGAATAAAATTAACAAAATAGATAACATAAATTAAATTAACAAAAAACTTAAAACTTAGATTTGGTTTTTAGTAATTTAATTTAATTAAGCCTGTAAAAGTGAGCATGGAAACTTTTGTTAACAATCTTACAGAGCATTTCAATAATTATTATTTTTCTTTTAGTTTTGGTAGACTTTTGCTGTAATTTGGGTACGCAAACAATTTCTATGTATGGGCCATTTCAGAACAGGTATTACAATTTAGTTGTTTCGAGGCAACCGAGTTAAAAAAAGGGTAAATGTATGAAAACAAGATTTTTTTATAATTATTGATTTAAAGAATGAAAACCCAAATACAACAACTGCATAGTTTATTTAGAAATTAAATATTATTAATAAATTAAAATCTAGAATTTAACAAAAATACATTACATGTTTAATAGAAAGAAAGAAAGAAAGTTATATAACTAAAATCGTACACATTTTTTTTACAACTTAAATTTCACATGTTAATTAATATAATACATCACATCCAATAAATAAAATTACATTTAGCAAAATACCCAATCAAACAATTTTATACATATATGTATATATGTATTCAACATGCATGCATAAATATAATATTCAAAAGCTTAAAAATTTAACAACTTTAATAACAACAAACATAATACCTAATAAACTATATAAATGGTAAATATTTGATAAGTTTTTTTAAACAAAAAATAGATGAACAATTATCAATTTTCAAAAATTAAAATAAAAACAAATATAAAAAACAAAACAAATTAAAATTTCTAATTAGGTAACTGACGTTTTTGGAAAGGGAGTATTAAATTGATATTTTTTTATTAAAAGATTAACAAAACAACAGATACTTGACTTCATGACTTTAAGGTTCAGCTGCTAGCCATTTGTTTTTAGGTTGATTGGTGTCAGTTATAAAATTTACATTAGCATAGTCATGGCTATCTTTGTTATCAGTAGCAATTGACACTAGTTGTATGTTGTCCATAGGCTGGTAAAACGCAGATGCAGACTCTATGTCAATAACAACATTAGCCAATGATGGCTTAAATAGATCACCATCGGTATCAAGCGGCGGTGTGTAACTTCCTCCTTGATCTGAGACCAAATCAGACATATTGCATACATTGAACCCGCCAATGTGTATATATTCACGATCGCATTCATCCTTGACAACCTGTGACTGTGTATATTCTTCTTCATTCATTCCATCTATATTAATGTTCAATGAATCATCATCAATATCTTCCAAGTCTTCTGATATTGCAATATTAAAACTGGGATCCACAAAATCATTGCGTTCCGCATTGTTATTGATAATATTTACTTTGCTGCTAGCATTTAGGTCAGGAATCACTAGATTACTAACGATTGGCAAACATTTCTGTTAAAACAATAAAAACCATATTTTTAGCAAATTAAAAGAACTTACAATTTTTTTATAATAACCTGTTGTCAACTCACTTTGTTAGGATGATGAGTAGTACACAACATACCATTGCCCAACGGATCTTTAAATATATTACCTTTGGCATGCACAGCACAAAACGATTCTACACAAAATTTACATTTGGCTACTACTTTACGTTTGTTGCACAGAGAACAGAAATGAGAAGGGCAAATGAATCCGGCTAGAATAAAATAAACTAGGTATTATTTATATACAAATAATTATAATTAATACATCTATCATTGAAATTCAGTATATTATATTTTTTGAGAGTAGTTAACTCACATTTAACAATTCTAGTTTTGTTAATGCAACTAAGATGAAAGACTCTAGGGCACTTTTTGTTCTTGCATGATAGTTCTGTATGACCTTTTCCACAAATTAAACAAGAATTGTTTTTGTAATATGCTTTGGACTGTAAGAATCCTTTATTTGTTTTAGTTTTCTTCATTACAACAGTTTTCCTGGACAAAGTTTCCTCACTTTTTTTTATGATTTTTGATAACCTTTTTTTTCCGTTGTTGAATTTTATATTTGACACAACAGGCTGCACTTTTGCTTCCTTACTCATATCATTCTAGACAAATATAATTAGTTTTAACTTTTATATAAAGCAAGTTATCCCAATAAGCAGGATTTGTTTTAATGTATACACAGTAATTCTTTTATCATGAACATTTGAACAAGTATTATTATTTTTGAAAAAAAAATTACACGGTGTTATTGTTTCTAGTTGTTAAAAACATTTTTTTTAAATTATATATTTAGTTATCCATATCCATTTTAAATTTTACATTTTTGAAGGACAACAAATAGTTTTAATTTCATATTCTAAAGCAGAATATTTTTCAAAGTAGATCGATACATAAAATTCCAATTTATAAAGAGTAGCTAATAAGCCATAAGCATTTAATGTTCAAATGAGCAGTGGACCAATATTCACCAATTTATATTCAATGGTCAGAAAATCAACTAATAAACTACTAGTTTAAAATTCAATTAAAATTTTTAGTCAGTATAATATTCTGTTTTAAAGATGAAATCAAAGCTGTATTTTGTCATTCAAAAAGTCAAAACTTAAAAAAATATAAGTATCAATCGTATGATTTTTTGTTGAGAAATGATGTTTTGTAATAATTTAAAATCATGTCAAAAAAATAATATTAAAATATTAAAATAATGAATGTCAAGTTAAATTGATGACCTGTTATATCAGGGGTTAGGTTAGGTTAGGTCAACAAATAATTATGAAGGGGATCTGGATGTTATGATAAAAAAATTTACGAGGTTCAGAAAATCTTTTTGATTTGCAAGTTACTTTATGTTTACGGACAAATAATGAACAAAAATCAGTATAAAATTAAAATATTTTAACGGTCAGTTATTGCCTACGAGCTGCCTTTAACAAATCAATGCTCTTTACCAATACTAAAGGGAACAGTTCAGATTTTACATTAATATACATCAAGATATTATTACAAGCTTATCAAAAGTATTTAATGAGAATCTAAAAAATATGATAGTCAGGAAAAATAGTTAAGGTTTTGATAAACTTCAAATTTCAGGAATTCAAATTATTTATATTTATATATTTAACTAACTGGATTATCATACAAAAAATTAACATTTTATGAAGTGTTTCAAAAATGTGGCGAATGATAAGTATTATGTATGAATTTTAAAATGTAAATAATTAGAAGACATTTTAATTCAACAGCATAAATTCCCAGCACTGTCAGTATGTCAAGAGGACGTTACATGGATATTTGTTGGCTCCACCTTACAAGTGCGTAACATAGCAAATTTTACACTTAGTAGATCACATTTAGTTTCATTTGTTTGAAAATTGGAGTGAATTGACCTCTTAAATATTAAGCTAAGATTATTACTATTATTTAGGACATCTCATAGGATTTTTATTATAGTTATTTATTTATTTCTATGAAACAGGACAAGCCCAATATAATTATTGATATTTATCTTAAAACTAACAGTGTATTATAATTTTAAAGTGTGTTATGAACATTTAAAAATGGAAATTCATACATCCTCAAATACTCATAACTTGTAATAAAATTAAAACATAATATAAAGCCTATGAGATATGCCCTAGATAATAATCGTACCTTTAAATGTTATAAGACTTTTTAATAACTCTAATTTTTAAACTAACAGAGCTAAACGTGATTTGAAGAGTATATAGTTTGATATTTTATGCCCTTGTAAGATGGAGACAATAAATGTCAGTGTAATGTCCTCTTAATCAATGTATAGCAGAGGTTGGCATTAGTGTCTAAAAGAAACAGTATGATTTAAAAAAAAAATTCAAAGACCAGAATGTTATATATTCTAAACAATATAAATAAATCAAATATAAATTATGTTCAGAGTGATTAGCTAATTAAGACACATAGACAAATAATGGAAAAAAAAAATGTATCTACCAAAGATTGCAGACTTTATAAAACAATTATCCATGGGTGAACCCAGCATTTAAGTTAAATGTTTTTGGTGGTCCAGTATTTTCCCTCCACGAACACCATCATACTGCCGACCTCTGTTATATATTATCACTACTAATAATGAATTTATATTTTCTTAATTGTTAATAATATTTGTTATAGACATTTTATATTCACTTTGGATAAAAATAAATGTCGACTTTTTGCCAGTCTAGTTAAATTGTTTCGGGTTTTTTCTTGAGGCTTTGTAGATTTTTCAGGTTCATTATCATTGCCCTAATAAACAAATAATAAATATATGAATTTTAAATAAATATTTAATAGGTCAAGTATTAAAAAAACTAAATTTAAACTATGAACTAAAAGGGAGTTGTTACATATTATGCAATTTGCTTCAGTGATTACAATAATCACAATTAAATAATGAAGTAACATTTTAACATACTTTTTTTTCAGAAGAATATGAAGTTGTAGCTGATGATATCTTGACTAGGGTAGGTGATGGCAGAGGTAAAAAATTGCGTTTGATTAGATTTTTCTGAAAAATAAATATTTAAAAATGCACTAGTTGATTGATTCAAATGTATAAACATAACTCATCAAACCTAATATATACTTGATAAATAAAAATAATTAGATTTTTCTTGAACATATTGATTAAGTTATTTTTAATTTTTGTATGTGATCAAATAAAATAAAATAAATTAAGATATTTATTGTTAGTGATGAAATTGAAAAACAATGAAATTAATTATTGAAACAAATTTTTGTTAATAATATCGTTGAATAATTGCCTACTTTTTTATAGTTGTTGAATTGCCGTTCCTTTTTTACTATATTAGAATCATCTGTATCCAATGTATCATCCTAAAACAGGAAAATCACGTATAAACCTGATCAAATATAAATAAAATTGGTTCAAATATATTTTTTAATTGTTGTACATAGTTCATAAACATTTCAACACCAATAGGTATTACACTGTATGAGCTATGTTTAAAACAAAAAACTATACGAATGAGAACCCATTTTCATTATTACAATACTAGGGACATACCTTGCATGAACTTCATAATATTTTAACATAGTTGAAGTTTTTGGGCTACATATTTGTATAATCCATATAATTGTTTTATTATGACTAATATAGTAATATGTATTTGTAAGAACAAATTGTTAAATACAAAAGTTCAAAAAAATTTAAGTTTGATTCAGTTAAAAGAGAAACCAAACATAGTTTCTAATAAATGAAGCAATTCAAATTAGGAGAGTGTATATTATATTAAATTATTTAGTAAAATATAATAGATAAATTTTGGTTAAAATAAAAAAAGCATTATAAAATATAAACAATGATTTAGTATGTTTTGTCACAATCAATCAATAATCATTCATAAAGTACATAGTATAAATTCAGTAAAATAATTAACAATATGTACATTTTGTTTGTCCAAATTAAAGCATAAAAAAGTATTTACTCAGTATTATACATTAACTACAAATTATGATGATGGTTTTTGTATTATAAATTAAAAAATGTCACAGTGCAAAAAAAAATAAAAATTATTTATCGTGTAATGTCATACTTTTATCGGTAGTTTTCTCGAAGAAAGCATGGACAAACCATTCCTTAACTTTCCTTTGAAACTAACAATTTCTTCAGATTCCATAGAATCATCAACTGTAATGTCATCCTAAAAGTAATAAAAAAAATTCATTTATACACACACAAATTCATCATAAGTGACAACTAATATACAGCGCCATAAAATACACTAACCAGATGCTAATCCAACTTAAATGCTACAAGGATTTTACCTATCAATACTATTAATTTTCTCAGATTTGAAATGTTGAAAACAGTTAACACAAATGTTCATATTGACATAACAAACATTCAATTTTAAACACAAATAATTCATTAGTTAAAACTTTTAAACTCTTCTTAATATTTTAGATTTTTCTGCACAAATTAAATGGCATGTTTTAGTAAAATATTGTTTTTTCTAAATTAAAACCATATGAATATGGTTAAAATATTACTAGACTTAAAATTATTGAACTGTAAAAAATGTAATGTTGATATATAAAATCCATAAAATAATTACAGAAATAACAAAAGATCAACATTAATTTAATATTTTTTGGAAACAAAAAAAAAAAAAAAAAAAATTGTAGGAAGGACTTGTAAAATTATGAGAAACATGATATATATTACATAATATTATATAAAACTGGCGTTAATGAAATTAATAAGCCTTTGAATAATTATCTCAGCAGTAAGAAAAAATTATATTTAATTATATCACACACTGAATATACTGTTAAGATCTGGGATCAATAAAAAATAATTAATTAAAGTTATATTTCTTTAAGATACTTATAATAAAAAATGTGTTAACATACATGTTGGTTTATCCTTGTGATAATTCATATGTTATGTTATGAGATACAACACTTTCACTACCTACCTAACTTTCACTTTAGCACTAGTTTTTTTTTTACCTAAGAATTTGATAACACACTATAAAGCTAAGTATAATGGGTTAAAATCTAATTTTGAATATTTATATTTTTTTTTTATCAAAATCATATACTTTTTTTAGTTTAAAAAAGTTATGTAATAAATTGTATAAAAGTAGGTATATTCATTCATACATTCACTATGTATTTTATCATTGAATACGCTTCATAAATATATTCAAGCCTTTAATCTCATATATAAAGCAGAAACAAAATATAATTTAAACTTACCCACATACAACTCTCGAACAGAAAATAATATGATTACAAGAGCTACATTTAGAAAGAGATATAGTTATCTGTTCCTAATACACTAATACTTAATTTAAAAATAGTGTTAAACACAAAAAAAAAATACCAATTGATGATAAAAACCTATATATATTCACCTCAAAAGTGTAAAGTAATTGCTTATAAAAATAATTCATAATAATTGATTTTATTGGTTTGTTTTAATGAGGTTATCAATATCGTTAAAATTGAACTATATATACAACAAGCACATTATTTATTTATTAATAAAAATTCAATTAAAACACTTGAATAAAAAAAATTTTTTATACACTTTCAACTTTTAGAAATTACAAGTTACAACTATTATTAGCGGTATATTAGAATACAATTTAAAAGTTTGTTAAATGAATGGAAACATTAAAATGTGAAGAAAAAAATGATTTAAAAATGAAAAATTGAAGAAATCACAGTGGTATATTTACTAAAACGTTACTAATGCAATACAAGCTTTTTTAGATTCTCCATAAAACAAATTTGTTGTGGATTTTTCATTTTAAACAGCTGATAAAATTTTAAGTATTAGTATAGATGAAAGATCAAGTATAAATTCTAATTAAGATTCAATAGATATTTTGAGTAAGTACATTATTGATATAATTTGCTTTACTCATGAGTGTTTATTAATTTATAAGTTGTATTTAATGGCATAGACACTCATGGGATGGGAAAGGAGGTCAGAACGTATAAAAATGAATACAATTTAAAAATGTTAATAATTTACCTTCATAATACCTATATTAAGAAAAAAAAAATGAATTTTTAATAATTAAAAATAAACCAATTGCAGAGTTGGAGTCAACACCGAAGTCATTATTAGATATCGGATATTTAAAATTATATTCTATAATATAAACAACGCTTTTTATTGTAAAGATTATTAAGGTTCTGATACAAACATGAGGTGATTGTTCAACAAATATTAATAGATCTGTATTATATTGATATATTTCGGTACTTTTCAATTATCAAGCTATTGGTTTTGGACAGTTATATTATTTGATGTTCAAATTCCAGATACCTTTTGAAATAATTGTACTCACCCTATTTTTATGTTTAAATTAAGCATGTACTCAAATGTTGATTTTTGGAATTAATAAATACACTTGAAGACCTACAGTTAATATTTTTGTTAAACTATTTATAACGATTATTATGCTAAGTATTAACATTTTAATAACTCAGAAACCACACATTAGAATTCTGATTTAGATACAATTATGTTTTCAAGTTAATCATCCACTAAAAATTAGCAATGAAAAATGGGGATTCTCATGCGAAGAAAAATTGTCGCTACAGGACATTCCGTATGTAACACAAAAAGTATCAGAAATTTGAAAATAGGGTCAGAAGATACGTTTAAAAATTCTAAACATTAGAATTTGAATAAAAGTACTAATAATAAAGGAAAAAAGGAGGTGCCCATGCTTAAAATTCACCATTAATACATGATTTTGTAATGAAACCCCTCCCATTTAAAATATGCCACTGGCAGTATTAGAACCAAGATCTAGTTTAAATTAATTTAAGTATTAGATAAAAATGTATGGATATATTTAAAAATAATTGTTTTGGAATCATGAATTGGAAACAAAAGTGGGAAGTTCTACAAAAATGGATTGAGATTCTGTGTTTTATGTTATAAATAACGTCTGTATTTAAAAATAAAAACTATTTTGACATGAATATTATCAAACTTTAAACAAAGATGTAATTATTAGAGGCTACATTGTCATAAGTAAATATCATTAATTTAATATAATTGTAGAAATAAATAGTTGCTAAAATATTAAAATAAAATATAAATATGTACAATGAATTATAAATAATCTATACTCCATTCAAGTTAAGAAACATACTCGGGAGCCAATTTGTGTGCTAAGGATGCGGCTTTGCTAAATGGCAGATAAATAACCGTGGTTGATTCACTGGGGGATATTGATGGGTGTTGCCTGATAAACGCAAAAAAAAACTTGTGGTCACCAAATAATTTTCTTAAATTGAATAGAGTATTTAAAATCAAAGAATATACATTATACATAAACATGTCTCACCATGTTCAACCTCATACATATCCTCAAGTATATACTCCTAACACCTGCCTAAATTTAAGTTAGAAAAAAATTATTCTCAGGAAACACTACGTATACATAATCTTACACAATAATACTTGATCGCTGTTAACAAAAAATATTTATACTCTGTCTCAAAGGTGAATAATCAGTTGGCCGACAGATAAATGTTAGTATTGTGTATCTCCTAAAAACTACCCAGTGTTAAAGTGATCATGTGTTTCACCAATTGTATCATTCACAATGGGCTAAAAGTGATTATTCTCTCTTGAGACAGAGTAAAGTATTAAAAATCTGATTTTCAAACCATGGTTAGGAAAAATATGAAAGAATAAAAATGAAAACATTACAAAACATGTTGACTATAAATATTTCTTTGATTAAGTTCAAATAAAACCTAACATTTTTGATATATTAAGTTAATATAAATAAATATTTATTATTGAAAAATATTATTAATTAGAATAGCGATATAATACAAAGTGTGGTTAAGCGTATTTAAATAAAAAAATATTATATTAAAAATGTGTTCGCAAATTAATGATACTCTTAACAAACATATATATTTTCATTTGGACAATAAAACTAAAATATATACTAACAGTTAATATTTTGTCCTGTTTAATTTTGCATGCTGTATTACGTTCCTTACATCATAAAAATTACATATCTGGACTGTGAACGAGGAGTTTAATTGATTACATTTTGTGAATAACAATTATTACTATAGCATTTACCAATTGGAACTTATAAAATTAAATGGTTTAAAAATTAATTAGAAATATATACATTTTTATTTTATTATTCAAGTTTTCAACATACTTAATAATTGTACACGTCAATGATTTTATATAATATTATAATATAGGATAATAATAATAAATTAATAACATACAAATTAATGTTTGAATCAAGTACCTAAATAATTCCGATAATTTTTAAATAGATATTTTTAGTATTCTAAATAAAAGGAGAACAAAAAGTGGTAGATTTTACAGAATTACTAAAACCACTATATAAAATTTATAAAAAATGTACTTGTCAAAATATAAATCAATATATTTTATATATAATATTAAGTTTAAAAGTTAATTTAAATTTAAATTGATTCATCAGTTATTAAAATCAGAAATTAAATGTTAATATATTAAAACAGACTATGAAAATTTGACATAGATTTATAGTTACAATGTAGATCTCTTAATTGTTTTTTTTGTTACATACTTTGGTCATATTGGCGATGTTCCTAGCTGAATTTTTCCATTTCCTTTTTACAACAGCAGGTGTTTCTGGGGAATCTGAATTTGAATTCTAACATCAAAACCAAATAATTAATTAAACTATAACGTATGAATCATTAAGTCATTTAAATATACTTTTAAGGCAGTAGATGGCTTGCTAGTAGATGTTTTCGATTTGGATTTTTTGGAAAGAACAACTTTCTCAGCATTAGATACCTATTAAAAACATTTATTAGATTTTAATAAATAAATATAATAAAATACAATTGTTGTGATTTATTTATTACCTTATTTTCAGTAGTAGAGATGTTTTGATCATTACTAATCACTTTAGATAATTTTGACTTGTCCGAATCAGAAACATTATCCTATGAAATAAAGAACATTTATTTTATAATAATAAATAAGACATCTAAATGTTTAAGTACAATATATATATGTATACATTATACATATAAGAAAAAAGGATAGGCCACTATGTTTTCAGTTAAAACATGAAGCTTACAAAATTCCATCAAATGGAAATTCTATTAGCATACTTTTTATTTTTACTAAATAAATAAATATATTACACACAAATTGCCATATTAGATTACCTTCAGTTTCAATGGTTTTCGTTTGTTTTTTGAAGAAACCTTGCACTTATCAACATCATTACTTGAAATTACTTTCTTTTTCTCTTCTTCCTATTAAATTAAATATTGAAATTTATTTTATAAAAGTGGTTACTGTGTCAAATTCATTACTGTGGTTAGACTTATACCTGCCCCATAACCATAATTTTTTTGCCAAAAAAGAAGGCTCTATACATTGCTAGAACATCTGAATCATCCGTTTGAATACTAGCAAAGTTTAGTGCAGTTTAACAATCTCTTTTAATGATCTAACGTACATTATCGACACTTAAAATGTTAACACTATAAAACAATATTTACCACTTTGACTCCAATAAATTTAGAACATCTTGTGGCTCCACATTGACAAGGTTTTTTCTCTACTCCAGAGCAACTCTGCAAACGATAATCAAAAACCAGCTCTGTACCAGTTGGAATGTCATGTAAAGCAAAAAGTCCAATTCTAGTATCTCCATTTACTGTCCATTTTTGTGTTACACAATTTGGTTCACATGAATGGTTCATAAATCTATTGTAAATAAAAAAAATAATAAATAAAAGGTAATGTAACTATACATATGCTTACAAAAGACAACCATTTCATAAATTACGTAAGTTAAAAATTTAAGTTTTTTAACATTGTATACTAAGTCATACAACTTAAAATAAGAAAAAAACTTTAATATTCAAGAATTATAAAGAAGTTATAGTTAAGACGACAATATTTCAATTTGTTTATATACTTTAAATAAAGTATGATTACAATATAAACTAAAAATATATCTGTACATCAAAATTAATTCTTAACTTAGCAATGGCTAAGGATATAAACTAGACTGGTAGATAAATCTTACAAAAATAAAAAGATATTAATTAGGAACTAATTACAAACATTGAAAAATTATAACATAATTTATGATGTTTAAGTTGGGTCAAAGCGAAGGTAATGAGATAATCAAGAGAAGTAAGTGGGATAAATTAAACCATTGATTGAGAGTTGAGTTATATAATACTAATCACTTAAGTAATTGGCTATCTATAAGCCAAAAGTGTCTCATACAAGTGTCAGGCTGGAGTCTTTGACATCAATAAGTACACCATTTTTGAATGAATGGAAACAAATTACACAGCGGATTCAATGAAAAAAAAAAATTTGTCATTTCAAAACTAAATTGTATTATTTAATGTTATTTTAATTTTAATTTAATAACTAATTAAACGAGGGTAAATACTGTTTTCATTCTCTTTTTTAAACTTTGTCAGAGTAGGTTAAGTTAAGAACTTGGTAATTGAGGAATATTATTTTAATTTATAAGAATTAGCTTTTACCTTGATAAATTTCCCTTTGGTCCAGCATCAATTGTTCTAGAATTATCTATAGTCAAAAAATAATAATTTTGTTCATTCCTTTGATGCATTTCCAAGCATCTCCTTTGGAATTCTTCTTCATCAATTACATCACCAACATACTCAATTACAAATGAACCTTAATTTTAAGTTATCATTATTAACACTATTTTATGATTATACCAAAATGTATTATATTATCAAACCTTCTTTTATATCTTCTAATGTCTTGAGACCCCAACCTCTACCTTTTGTCAAAAACGGAACCATAGCTGGGTACAATGTTTTTTCAAATCTTTGGTTATTACATTTATCTCCAGCAGGGCATACTTTTGGTTCACATTCAAACATAAGCATTCTATAAGTTAATTCAAAATTAAGTTAACAATTTAATAGGCTATTTAAAAATGTTAAAAACAAAATACCTATTTATACAATCAGAACCTGGACCACATGGGTTTGGCTTTGTAGGATCACATTCACAGGGAGTCATTGTGGTAATATCAAATTCCATATTTTTGACATTGCCAATAGGTTTGTTGAATTTTATTCTTGTAAATTTTGGAGGCTTCTATAATAACAATAAAATAAAAAGTATATAATAAATTACTTAACAAAAATCATGTCTAGTTATAAACGTAATACATACTGTAAAAGATTTTGCTACTATAGCATCATTTTTTTCCCTTTCTAAAATATAAGCATTATGTGCTTGAGCTGCTTCTAAAATAGAATCTTGAAACACTTTATCTATAAACTTCATATTATTTTTTCTTAAAATATTCTGATCATCCTAAAAAAAACAAACAAATATAGAGGACATTGCTCCCAGATTGATTAAAAAATCAAGCGGATACTGTCGGAAGCGATTTTGTATTGCTAGTATTAGACTCAACTAGTTTATACACATTTTTTTTATTCAAGATTCATAAGCAAATTTTCGAATTACCCCTTCATGAAAATTAAATACTCGTCCTCGATTCACCCAATAATAATCATATGTTCCAAAAAATCGAACAGCAAATTGTCCAACAGAATGTGATATTGCATTTACGGTATCAGGAACTTCATTTGGAAAAATAATTTGAGCTGGCCACCACCTAAAGGCAAAATAATTTAATTTGTAACAATTTGATATTATATCACTAAATAGAATCCACATTAAATTTAACTTTAAACATTAAATACACAATTTACCTACACAAAAATTAGGGAGAAAATAACAATGTTTAATAATTTATTCGGTAAATAATAAAAATGTAATAATAATTTTTTAATTTATCTAAGTTATGCATTCTATTTACCAAAAGAATATAAATGTTTGGTGCATAGTTTCCCATAAATGAGGTAACCTGATCCTGCAGTGGTAGGTGCTGTTTTGATGGGGATTGACTAGTTTGGTTATACTCCTGCCACTAGCTGGTAACAGAATTTGTATAAATTATATAGCTAGATAAAACCATCATATTTATCATATGGATATACAGAACATATATTATTAAACATACATATAGTTAACATTTAGTATATGTCATTATTATATATAAGGAATGTCTAAAATACATGTTCTGTATAAATTGTGAAAATATATAGATATATAATTTATAGGTATTTTCTATATGAATTTGGGTACCAGCGAGTAACAGGAGGATACCAAATTCATTAAGTCAAAAACACAAAAATGAATGTTTATAATGTAGATAGTAGATACAGATTAATATCATATAATTAAGGTTGTCGGAAACCATAATTTCTGTAATAAAAGTTTAAAAACATCTATGGTCAAAAATCAATAACAATACCAATGATGTCTCTTAATATGTAATACATTCTAGATTAAATGTTAAATGTTTATTCAATCCTTGTGAACTTAAAAATAAAATAATGTTAATTATTTAACACTGTAATTACATAAATAAAATCAAGAATCATACCTATAGTTTCCGATCTTAACCCATACAATTTCACCATAAAGAGGAAATCGTCCAGTTTGACATTCTTCACAAGTAAAACCTCCTTCAAATTCTGATGGGTCCTGATTTAAACAACCAATGTGGAATGAAGATGGACACAAATCACAGAAAACTAAAGAACCACCTCCTTTAAAAGTATAAAATATATTTGATTAAGACTAAACAAACTTAAACATTAGATATAATAATCACCGAATGCACAAATAAAACACCAGGTAGCATTATAATGATAAATTTGCACTTTAACAGGTTCAAAATGTCGACTACAAATAATATCATTATATGTTAAGACTTGACAACCAGCTGGTAAACAGTATTCACCTATAAATACATAAAAAATATAAATATAAGAATTTAAAATAACTTGTTTATAAATATTATTACTTCTATGATAGGCTGTTGGACATTTAATACACCGGGTTATTTTTTCAGCGGGAAAATGAGTTTTACATGAACTTTTAGGGTTGTCCGAAATGCACAAATGACAAACATGATGTGGACATATTACAGATCGAACATTATTCCGTGACCCTTGAATCCACTGACATTGAGGCCAATCTTGTAAACAAGTTTCATGAAAATATTTTCCGCAGCTGGCTAAAAATATATTTTTTTTTATTTTATCAGTAAATCTTATTTAACATTATAGATTTTAAGTTGATTTATAGATATAGCATATTAATTACAGCTTAAATTAACTTGACTTTAGTACTAGACAATTTTAAATACAAACATATATAAATAATTCATATATTAGTCAGTTTTGCATGCTTTAAAATTTATTTAAATTAAAATAGTTATCAAATTATAAGATGACTCATAAATTTATAACAATATCTGTAAACATTGAATAGTAAATATTTGTTTATAAAACAATAGTAAAAATAATTAACTTATTTACACACCATAATGCCCATTACACATTGTACGCATTATGTCAACTATGTAATATGTTGAATAATTTTTATTTGATATGAATCAAATAAATAAAAATAATAAACATTTTAAATATTTTAACTTACATATTTTACAGGCAATCTTTTGTCCAGGATCGTCAATAATCAAGCCACACACAAAACAGTTTGTTTTATCAGCTTTACATAGGCTGCACATATATTTTAAATTTTCTAATGGTATTTTTTCATCAATTGGTACAATTGGAGTAACAATTTTTTCATCAGTTGTTCCCTGAATAGAATCTTCATTCATACTTTCTAACTCACTTTGAGGATTCTCATTCTCAGTCAGAATGCAATTGTCATTTTTAAATGGCTCATCGGATTCAATTTGATTAAGCGATATAGTTTCTTCATTATTATAGCTAGAACATTGGGTTTGAGATAAAGTCCTTAAGCCATTAGTTTTGACAATGTCGTCTTGTATAAATAATTTAGCAGTATTTTCTTCTTTTACGTTATTTATAAGTTGAGAATTATCATCAACAGAACTTTCATTTTTCTGTGTGATTTTTGAGTAATGTCTTTTACGTCGACCAGGCGTTTTTTTTATTTTCATTTTAGTCACTATTGGTATACTTTTGGTATATCTTTCCTCACTCTTATTTAAACATTCTTTATGAAAATAACTTTGACATGGGCCCAGACATTTCACTGTGTCTTTGATATTTTTACAGACTACACATGCTCTTTTCCAGGTTTTTGTAAACAACTGTTTGTTTTTTGAACTGGTTAAGAAAACTGAACTGTATGTTTCATTTTTTGAAGAAGCTTCACTTTCTGTTGTATCTGGTTCTGGGCTACTTTCATGCTTAATGGAAGTCGATTTTCTGAAGACCACAGAAAATAAAAATTAATGCAACATAAATCATTTTAATTATGAAGAACCATATGTATATCTCGGAATAAATAATAACTTTCAGTGCAAAATGTTACCTTCCAGTAGAGTTTTCTTTTCCAATACGTTTTTTTCTAGTAACTGTTTTCTTAGAACTGGATGAACTAGAAAAAGAATAAATTTTTTATTTATTTGCTCTAGTTCTAGAATATGAAAAATGTCTTCAGACGAGAACATGAACTTAGAGAAGTTTATTTAATATTCATCAACATGAGTACTATTTTTTTTTGAGAAAAAATAAATGTAAAAACTATTGATATTATACAACCAAAATATGTATGTTGTGTACACCTTCAAAAACTCGAGTAATTTTCAGTACTCATTTGGAAAACTCAAGAATTGTTGTCAATATGATACGTGGTCAATTTCAAGTACTTAACTTTTGAATTAGATTTAAAAAAATGAATTCCCAACTCAACTTGTTTTCAAAAAATAATACTCCCACAACATATTTAATGTATATCATTTTAATTATACCTTTGTAAACGTATAGTGTGATCACCGTTACTTGAATTGATTTCTTTATTTGATTTGGTACTGCAATTATTGACACAAATTAATATTTTAAAATTACCTTTATAATAAACAAATACACAGATAATAAATATATTTAAATTTACTTTATATATATTGTATTTTTTTTTTTTGAACGACGAGTACTTGGAAAAATAATATTATCTTGATCATATTCTCCTTCTAATATGCTAGAATGCATAATATTAAAAAAGAAGATCAATTAATATTTTATCTTTAGCAGGGATAATATTTTAATTTGACATTCCAAACATCTAATTAATAAATCGAGTTTGAGGCCTGGTATGTAGCGCAGTTTGTCATAATCAGGGCTCCTAAGTTAATGCACTAAAAAAATGTATAAATTAGCAGGCATTAATGCACTAAACATTGGCAAAATATGCATTTATACACATTAACATTTTTAAATTATGCATTATATGAAAAAGTCATAAGCATATTTTTAAAATAATAAAATGTTTCTATTTTTTATCCAAATTTAATTTCTTTTAATTTTTATACATTTCATAACACTGAAAAACCTAACTCGACAAATCAAAACTTTGTTGTTGTTATTATTATTATTATTATTAAAACTGTGGTATATTATACAACCTATGGTCGTACGAGAATAAACGAAACCAAAACAAATACTACAATTTTGTAAATTGGAAAATAAATTAGAAACAAAAAGAATTTCTATATTTATTACACACAAATAGATTTTTTATGAAAAAATATGCGCGAATATAAAAATTCTAGTATATGCTAAATATGCCTTTACACCCAAAATATGCAAAAACATGAACTATTAATTTGTAAATATTTATTCGTGTTATGAAACAAGTTTGTATCTCAGTTAGAGCATGGTTTTCTGTGCTTCAAGAAAAACATGCAAATGCTTGAACTTACGAGCCTTGGTTGTAATCAATATTTAATTTCTTATATATATACATACATAATATATAAACACTTGAGCTACATTTTAGTACAATTTTTTCATTTTTATATTTTGAAGTTGAAAATAAAATTTTTAAAATAGCCAATTTGTAAATCCGGTTAAAAGAAAAATGTTTATGGTAAAAACATCAAGTAATTTATTTTATAGAGTAAATTAATTTAAAATGTAATAACTTATTCAAAATATTATTTTTGGTAATTTCCCGATATGGGGTATAATTTTTAAATTATTAATAAACTATAAGATTTTCCCAATTTTTGTCATGTTTAATTGTTATTTTTTTTTGTCAAATCTTTCTGTTTCACTTTATACATAATATATTAGCTATTTCACATAACAATAAAAATTATTTGTTACCTTATTTCAAGTTTCCTGTGATCAGGTACTGAACGAGTAGAAGATTTTGTGGTTGTAACTGGGTATTTATCTTGATTGTCAGATACACCATTACTATCATTATTTTCTGAAGAATTTACTATTGAATAAGATAAATCATATTTATTGGTAACTGAACTTTTTGGTGGATATGTTTTTGTTGATCTTCTTTTTTTTGCAGTTTCCTGTTTAGCTTTTAAACCTAAATCTTCCATAAAAGTATAACTCATGGAAAAATCGGAAACAGTACTATCTGCATCATCTGATCTTGACAGTAGAGGAATGTCTATTGATCTTGATGATGAACAATTATCAGCTATGTTTTCAGTCTTCATTATTTTAGAATCATTATCATGTCCAGGAATTGTTAGAGATCTTTTTCTTGAATAAGTACGTACTTTTAAAGCCTGAGAATAATATAATACCCGGTCAATCAACAGCTTGATTTATTATAAATTCTATTTTAACTTACAGTAACAGCGCTTTCAGATGATTTATTTAAAACAGGTGGAGTAACCAAATCTGAATTACAAAATGATTTGAAAAATTCTATCATTCTCAATTCTCTGAAATATAAAATACATTTTGTATAATTTATTAACGTATTACAGTATTTTAAAAAATTGTCTTCAAAATATACCTATCAAGTTTCATCAAATTATCAGCTTCTTCAACTGCCAAATCCCACGTATCCATAAGTTTTTTACTATTCTTAAAGTAAGACTGTAAATTTTAATAATTGTCAAATACAAAAATATATCTTTTAAAACGTAATATATATATACATACAGGAGAAAAGAAAGATCTAAATTCTAAAGTATTGGATAACTTTTATTTGAATCAATAATTTTTAAAACTATTTATACGTATGATTTATCGATTTGTAAGAACACATACAATACATAATTTTTTATTTTTATTATTTAATACTGAAACTAATGTTTTTAATCTGATTAAATTTTTGATTCTAAAAACATTTATCTTAGTCAAGTGGTTCATTTTTTATGATTTTTTAAAATTAGGCTCAGTAATATGAACAGTAATAACTTTTTAAAAGAATATTTAGATTTTGCTAAGTACTTATTTGAAATTTCTCATTAAACATTTAAAAAAACCTATACTTTTTTAATTTAAAATGTTTTTTAATGACTGGGTTAATTAACAGACAGTAATTAGATTAAAAAAATTGTAATTAACTTAAGACAATGTCTTTACTATCAGCATTATTCTAAAAACCACATAGTATTAAATTGTCTACTTGGAATTTTACAAATTAAATATAAAAAAAAATTTAAAAACATTGATTATACAAATAGTTATTTAATTTGACAGGTCTTTCATTACACTCTGTAAATATTTAATTTATACTTACTAAACAAGTAGGATACTTCGAAAGTAATTCACATTTTCCGTAATAACTTTCAGTAGTTGTGGCCCAACTTCTTCTACCTTTATCATTACAAAAGCGGACATGCCACAAGAATCTCTTTTTTTCTTCTGAAAAACATATAATAGTTTATAAAAACTTACATAGACAAATGTCAGTTATGTAACGAATTAAACTAATAAATGTAAGAAAAATCAAGAAAATTGTATTATTAAGTCAGTTATTCAATATTATGATATATTTTTAACAATATAAGAACATACTCCTGTCATGTTCTATTATGAACAAATTAATTAAAAATTACATTTATCAATCAGTCACAGAATTTGAATAAATTAACTATCATAAATTGCTTACTATAGTGAATATTCAACGTTGGGTCAACACAGATAATGCTTGGCCAATATGGATATTTCCCAATTTTAGCCCAAACAATATCACCGATCTTGTAATCTTCAATTTGCTTAGTACTAGTACTGGCGGGTTTGTCTAATAATGAATCAAAAACATCCACACCTGTATTATTAAGAGAATCTTGAATGGAAGGTGTATTCACAGCCTCGTCATTAATTAAATTACATGTGTCAGAAGGCAGCGGTGTATTTATAGCCTCATCACTATTTAAATGAGATGTATCAGAGGGCAGAGGTGTATTCACAGCTTCTTCACTATTTAAATGACATGTATCAGAAGGCAGCGGTGTATTCACAACTTCTTTGCTATTTAAATGACATGTATCAGAAGGCAGCGGTGAATTCACAACTTCTTTGCTATTTAAATGACATGTATCAGAAGGCAGCGGTGAATTCACAGCTTCTTCACTATTTAAATGACATGTATCCGAAAGCAGAGGTATATTCACAGTCTCGTCACTATTTAAATGACATGTATCTGAAGGCAGAGGTGTATTCACGGTCTCGTCACTATTTAAATTACATGTATCAGAAGGCAGAGATGGTGTATTCACAGTCTCGTCACTATTTAAATTACATGGATCAGAAAGCAGAGGTATATTCACAGTCTCGTCACTATTTAAATGAGATGTATCAGAGGGCAGAGGTGAATTCACAGATTCTTTGCTATTTGAATGAGATGTTTCAGAGGGCCGTGTTGTACTCACAGATTCTTTGCCATTTAAATAACAGGTATCAGACAGAAGTGGTGTATTAACAGCTTTTTCGCTACTCAATAAGTTGCTATTTAAATGAGAAATATCAGTCAGCAATGGTGTATTCACAGCTTTGTCACCATTTAAATGAGATGTATCAGAGGGCAATGGCGTATTTACAGCTTCGTCTTTACACAATGAGTTGCTATTTAAGTGGGATATAGTATTCGGCAGCACAGAACTGTCGTCAAAAAATAGGACGTCGATCGTAGTTTGTAGACCATTATCGTTAACATAGTTTTGGCTAGTTTCTAGGAATGCTTTAACTGGTTCTGCAATGTCGTCCATCGTGTTTAAAAGTCAAACCTGTAACAACAAATTCATATTAATGCACATAATTCAAGGATTCCTATATGTTGTTACAGTAATCAACTTTCTGCAAAACGCATAATGTATCAAAAGGCGTTTCGCAAACGTCATTCGGGGCGCTCCGTCACAAAACGCTTGAGTATCGAATTGTATAACAATGTTAGCATTGTAATATTATCTTAGAGACGTGTACAGAGAACAAGAAGCCAGGTCATTAATTGATGATGGAATGTTGGTAAAATGACGGTTAACAGCTACTAGTGACTACGTTTTCACAGTGACGTTAAGACTGGGTTAAATTATCGAATACCCACTTTTTTACACAATTATCGGTAGATTTAAAACCGTTTTAACGTCACCTTGTAAACGTAGTAATGGACGGTTTATTTGTAATCGTTTAATATTTGCTATATAATAAGTATTCTGTACCTCTGAGCCACGGCGATGACAAATCTGTCAAGACATGACGGGCAATCTCTAGAGACTTGGGTTTGTAGATAATAACCGGAATAAAGTTTATCCAATGAACTAGCTCGGCTCTAGTCCTCGTCCTCCGGCATCAGCAGTAGTGGAGTATAGTAGAAAGATTTTTTTTCAGTCTAAAGAGTAAAGAGGCAATCGTCGAGTGAAATTTATTCAGTCACTCCGCGTAGAATCGTGTTAAAATTAAGATCAAATTTACAAATGCATTTTTACACTACCTAGGTAGGTATATATCACTTTATCGTGTATTCGTACAATAGTACTTTAAATGATAATTAATTATTAATAATTTATATTTTATAATTATTAATTAATAATTAATAATTGTATTATTATGTATATATTATGCGTGAGTGATAAAATGGTAGTTGTAGCGAGCGGTAACAGAAGTGGTTACCACTTTACCAGTTAACGCGCGCCAGAATGCCACCCCAACGATACTGCCATTGAAGATTGACATACAGAAGAAACGAATTAGTACACTTGTAAATTATTATTTTCTACCAAAATGAAACCGATAACCTACAGGAGAATATCAGACCGACCGTTACGTCGAAAGCTCGCGTCTCACTAATGCCAACCGTCCGGCGTCTGAGTCCCGTTTGCGCTGTTTCAAATGTAGATGGCGCTCGCATATTGACGCCTATAATCATGAGCTAAGATATATCTAAGGTAGATACTAGTAACTAGTTCATGCCCATGATATAATAAACTTTATTAGTTTTATTAGTTTCTTATAACTTGTTCATGCCTATAATCTAACAATGTCGCAATATGGCATCGTACTATGTGGTCTGTCGTCTGTGTGCCGTGTGGCGTGTGCAGTACAACAGACGGCAATAGTGCAAATGTGCAATGCCGGCTATTAACACTTTAATTGTTAAGCGTATCAATTTCAAAAGGTGGGCATTAAAAAGTTAAAGTTAAGTTAAAAAGTTTATTTTTTTTTAACTTTTTAACTTAACTAGTTAGTTTGTTTTCTATTAACTTATAAACTTAACTAGTTTAATTTACAGTTGAAATAACTTAGCTATTCTCAGTTGATTTAAAAAAAAACCAATAAGTTAAAAACATTTTGAAATTTTTTGTTTATACGTAAATATTACTATATCAGTATAAAATAAATATAATCCAATACTATAATAACACAAACATTTCTGTACTTTTTCTTGATAACATAATTTTATGTATATTAATATATTTATTTTATAGTTTAATTTAATAAATAATAAAAAAGTAAAAGGGTATACAGTGCACATTATGATAAAAGTTAAATCAAATTGATTTATAATTTATAAATTAGAAACTAGAAAGACACATTCACTCTTTATGTGATTTACTTAAAAAAAAATAGATTAACTTTTTTTAAACTGAGTTAAGTTATTTTTTTTTTCTATATTAACTTTTAACTTATCGAGTTAAGTTTATAATTTGTTAACTGTTAACTTTTAACTTATCGATCTTGTGTCCTCTTAACTTAACTCAAGTTAATTATTTTCATTAACTTGCCCACCTTTGTGACAATTTCAAAACGTATCTACAGGGGTGGAGACGGTGGAAAGGCCCACTAGGCAACCGGAACCGGGACATTGCCCAGTGACCTGGATTTCTAAGATTGATTATGCACCGTTGTCCGTCAGTTTAATTTTTGACTTTATTATGTTAAGATTAGAGCACAGATTTTTACGCACTAAAAAGTATCAAAATAGTGAAAATATGCAAGGAAAAAAACTTTATACACAATTTAATAGATTATAAATAATTTAAAACTAATTAACTAACATATGATTATAATTATAGGTATCTACTTAATAAACAAAAAATAGTTTTAAATTGTATTATTTAATATTATTAAAATGCATAATCATTTGTAATGTCTACAAAATGAATTATTTCATTTTACGCTTGATAAATTACTTTTTTTAAATTTTCGCTTCAATATGCAATACATTTTGAATTTTGTCAAAATGTGCAGAAGTATGCATAACCATTAAATATGCTGTAATATGTAAAACATAATGTCCATAATCGTCTAACCATAATAATTCATAAAGATTGCTCACAAAAATGAGAAAAGGAAAAAATATGCGATTGCGTAAAATGCTGCTCTCTAGTTAAGAATAGAATCTAAATTAATATGATTAAGATTAAAGGGATAATCGTAAAACGTTTTCTACCCCTAGATATCTAAACAAAATATATTGATAAACTCAATGACTAAATTGATAATATAAAATCATTTATAGGAAAATCAATTTTGATGAAACTAGATAATGATATAATAATTAATGAATTTAATTACTTTACCAACGTACTAAAAGTAATGTATTAAATAAATTGTTTGTTAAGAATAGGTAATAGGTTTAAATAGTTTTAATGTATATTAAATATAAGGACATAAAATTGTATTTCTTATTTGTATGAAATGTAAAACAATGACAAATTTATAGATCGTTCAACTTCAAGACTAAATCAAATTAAATTAATAACTCTCAGATAAAAATTTAATAAAGCCCAAAGTAATAATGTATTGGTATGGTAATATGGTATACAGTATGTAATGTAGGTATACAGTGCAACCGGAAATAATATAGGAAGAAAATAGAAATGTTAAGTAATGTTTGGTATCCCTATAGGCGTAATCTGAGGGGTGCAAAGAGGTGCACTAGCACTCCCTGGAATTGTTGAGGGGTGCAAAACTATCATTTTGCACCTCCTAAATTGTTTATACTTATAGTGTATAACAACTAGTGTCAAAATTTTAAATATTTATGAAATAATGATAGTTTCTCCTGCTTACGAAGGCTGTTAACTCACCTCAGAACAATTATGGGGCAAGAAAGATTGTCTAATATGGCTATGTTACAAATTGAAAGAAATGAGTTATAGATTCCGAAATCGTAATTGACGAGTTCAATGCAACTGTACATGGTAGACGCTTAAGTTTAATTAAATTTTGTTAGTTAATATGTAATCATATTTATTTTATCAATATCCAGTGTAATAAATCACAGTGTTAACTAATTATCAATATAATAAAATTTACTTAGTTCATAGATAATACTAAATGACGTACGCAATTTTGATCTAGGAACTGGAATTGAGTTAAGAATGGTAAATACATTTGCATGTGAAGCGAGGAATTTTGACATCTTGTAGAAAGTTTGTAACTTTGACTTTCCTGATTAGTTTTGCACCCTTTGAATTTTAATGATACCACGCCTATGAGTGTCCCCATAAGTTGATTGGACAAAAACATTTTTAAACATTTTTCAGACAACAATTGAATTACGTTAATGTAAGTAATTAGCAAAGTTCAAATTTAAAAAAGGCCTGAAAATATCGGTTTGCCGGGTAATAATTTTGGAGCTACTCCTCCTTTGCATAACTAACTTCTCCAATTGTGTCATATGATGGATTGATAATGAAACACTGCACATTTCTTTATGAACAATCACTTATTTAAAAATGTACTTCAAAATATTTTTTCTAAGTGAAAAATGTTTGAGTAACATTTAGAAAAAATGTCCTGGTCAGTTTTTATCATTTTTGGTCTGAAACTAAAATTATTAATTTCTTTTCTTTGATGGTGACTGGCGATTCTATAGCGTAGGCACTGTTGGGGTGGGCAGATGACTGTACCAAAGTCCAAATTATTTCGTGTTCAAGTTCAACTATTACAAACTTCAATATCATAAGTAAAGTAAACAATTATTAGTCAATAGAATGAAAGTGGTTCATTCATTTTTACACCCTGTTAAAATAATTACGGTTTTTAAACGTATCAGTTATATACGTAACGTTACTAATTAAATAAGTAAGTAGCTATTTTAATACTTAAATTTTAAAAGAATAGTTGAACAATATTATAAGTTATCATAAAATTGTATAATAAATTCAACACAAAGGCACATTCAATTTTGTTTATAAGTTATTTAAGCATATATAATACATAATTATTATAAAAATGCCATTATTGATGTTAATTCTGTGTATATAGCATATTATAATTGTACCTATATGATGTTGATATCAAAATTCATTGTTTATAAGTAATTATTTGCTATTTTTAAATGTAATAATCATTTTTATAATCTTATTTAATCTGGTAGTTTTTAAGATAAGAGTAATAATTTTAAAGACATAAATATTAACTAAGAATAATAGTTACAGCCTATTTAATATTTTACCACGTAAGGCGCCGCATCATTTGAAAAAAAGTAATACATAAATATGATCATCTGTTGACTGTTGGTATCAGGAAAAAAACCAATATAATTTAATCTGACGGTAATCACATAAGACTATACTTGAAACAAATTTAGAAACAAAGTATATTAATTTACAGAGGCAAGGCAGCCGATTATGGGCCCAAACGAAGTATTTCAAGCGAGATCATAGAAAAACAGCGCCATTAATACAAATGGACCATTTCATCAAAAAAAAAAAAAAAAACAAAATGATCATAAAAACATGCAAACAAATCTTGTATTAAAAATAAAAATGCCCTTTACATTTTTTTGTTTCTGAACTTTTTTTATAATGAAATTAATTTGTAGCTTACATTTGTATAATTTCAAATTCTAGAAAAAAATATGCAAATACTATAAGCCCTGATAACTATTATACCTAACTATCGATCGACGACCGTCTTCGCGTCGATGTATAGTCGTATACCGCAGTACCTTATACGACGGACTGAGGACTTGCAGAGCTGGTGCAGTGGAGCGAGCTATTTATCGGGGGAAAGTGCAATAACAGTCCCGAACAGTATATATATATAAATACGCTGTACGTCTGTACGATATTTTTGTATTGAATAAAATGATGTGTTTTCGTAGCGATTGTTGAGGATAAGGTACGGGGTATAGTCGAGGGGTCGGGCGGAAGACCTGCAAGTTGCGTTAAGTTTGTAGCCAAGCGTATTGGTTGGATCGCGGTCGGTCGGTTCGGCTGAAGCCCTACGACCGTTTAAGGGAGCCTGTGTTGGCTTTTTATTAAGTTCACCCTACTACTATACACCCTTCCTTTCATAAACCCCCCCCCGGACCACCACCACACCTACAGCCCTACTCAAAACTCAAAAGCTCCCGTTACACGCCAATGTAGTATACACACTACGTCATTATACTTGTATATACATTATAATATTGTTGGTACGCATCGAACACAACCAAATGTAATAATGTACAATATAAGTAATATATTATAATATACTTGTGTATGATACCTACGTATTTTTAAATTGTCATTCACGCCTAAACTTTAAAGATGTACAAATGACAAGTAACAAAAGTACAACAATATTGTACATTATACAATAAAGATATAACGTGAGATTGTAATTAATAATTAATAATTTTAAATCATACATATTTTGTAGGTATATATAACTTTATAAGGAAGAGTTTACCAAAAGTCTGCGCCCGAATT